TACACCTTTTTAAATTTCCACTGCGCCATGATATGCTGCCCATAGAACCCTCTAGTACAGAACTGCCTGATCTCGAGTGAACAGGAAGCCCCTTATCAGTAACAAACCTAGTTCACCGGCTCAAATTTGAATGACCCTTATCGAATCTTGATGATATTTCTCTGAAGGTCTTGCTCAACGCTGCTGTGATAATCATTGACACGTACGTTTATACCGACGAAGTCGAGTTTTTATGCCTCGCAGAGGTAGACGCTCTATCATCAAAGCTACTCTCGAACAAAATGAAAGAGCAAAATCTTACCTTGGGGCATTCACGGCTCACCCTTGTTCCTCGAGGTACCCTATTTTCAGCCCCTGATGATGCCGAACAAATCCAACGTAAATATATCAAACAACTTTTCCACAATAGAAGAGCTTTGTTTCGTCGGTATCCAGATCTCGTATGTCCTAATTGAAGATAGTGGGCTAAACTCCTTTCTCCACACTGTGTAAACGCTGACTGAATTGGCAACTTGTATAGCCCTCGCAGACACCAAGACGGATCTTCGACTTCGTTGGTATCAGCAGGTTCGACACCTATCCTCAACAGTCTTCTCCGGACTCGCATTCCCGTCGTTTGGGACGACACCTCACTCAACGAAAGCGTCGAGGGAAGCTCGAGCCAGTCACCTCGTATCACCGACGAAGGCTCCCGTCAGCGAGGGGACCTAGAAAGAAGGGATACTTCTGTGCGAGACAGTATATGCATTTGCTTGTCTCCCCGATTTGCACAAAGGACTCCACAGATTCGTAACTAGGTACGGGTTCGTGACCAATTGGTGCTGCAAACTCTCGGGTCTCCCGGGCCGACTATTACGACTTGGAGCGGTCTGGTATCCAGCTTGCAACGAGAAGGGTTGGTGATCCTTTCGAAGTAGCCCATGTGACCCACGACAGGACATGAGGACTTTTGCTACCAGCCTGGTATCCCTTGTACAATGCCATCATAGTACTTGCGACTCATTTGGAGTCAGTCTTCCTTGTCCGGATACTACAGAAAATGCTCTTCTTGATCATCCGATTCGTAAAGCACTCTCTTCCCCAAGTTTCAACTCACTTGGTATTCCTTGACTTGTTAACAAGTCTCTTTCCTTCCTCTACGCACGACTCAAGATATATGACACTCACCACCCATACACTTTCATTATATTAGCATGTGCAACTTTAATGTAAAGTCAATCATCTTTAAACGGATTATTGGATTTATTTTACCACACTATAAAAGTACATGTATGACAAGTAAGAAAAGAATAGTCAACTAAGAACAAAATAAAAATACATATATCCAGGTACAGATAAGTCTCAAACGCATGTATCCCCAAGTCCAAAAAAGATTTCCCAAAAAAAAAGTAACGAAACCCCAAAGGATGAAAAACGACCAAACGAGAAAAAGAAACACATCACGCGCCCGACGACCTCTTCTTAACATGGAACTGTGCGCTCTTTGGCATCAACAGATCCAGATTCGCATCCCCATTCCCCTTTACATCCCTCTCAAACCCCAGCCTCCGCACCAACTTCCCCGGAACCTCCCCAGACCCCGATCCCGATCCCGACGCCTCCCCCTTCGTCCCGGGTGTCCACATCCCATTCTGCAAACGCCCAGTCCCGCGAAGTCGAATCCTAGACATCTCCGACTCAAGCTTGGGCAGAGGAGAGGCGGGGACCGGAGGAGTGAGTGTGCTCCGCGTATGGACAAGTTCGGGGGTCGTCGCGAACTTTCTCCGCTGGAGCGGGTTGGGAGGCGGTGTGGATGGATAGTCGGTGGTGATATGTACACCGGAGTTGCGAGTTCCCATAAGCTTTACCGGTGGTGCCTGGAGGACGGCTGCGAGGAGCTCGGATGGGAGAGGTGGAGGCCCAGGCCCAGATTTCATCCGCCGCTGTAGCGTGTTGGGCAGAGGCATGGTCGACGTTTCGGATGGGGGTGTGGTGTCCTTTTTGACTGGCCTGAGCCGGGGAGCTTGCCGAAGGGCCGCTAGGAGGTCGGAGGGAAAAGTTGGAGCGCCAGGAGGTGGAGTTGGGGATTTTTTGGTGGGCTTACGAGGTAGTGGTGGTGGTGGTGGTAGAAGTGGGGGAGGAGGCGGTGGAGGTGGAGGCGGTGGAGGAGGCGGTGGAGGTGGAGGCGGTGCCGCGGGAGGATGGACCTTTGTCGGCTGCTCATGCTGTGCGAGTACCGGCTCGCACAACTCTTGCACGCTGGCCTCGGCTCTTTGCCCCGCATCTCCATTTTCCGCGGCTTGCTCCACAGTGCAGTCCGCCTCCTCCAGACGAACACAAACCTCCCTCTCGACATCATCGACACTAGCCCCATCAGCCTCCTTCCCTTTCCCCGGTCCAAGAACACAATGGAGGCACGTCCAGGCAGCTGGCTCCCTATCCACCTCCACACCCAAACTCCTCGCGACGGGTTCCTGCATACCGTCACATTCGAGCTCGACTTCCCGTAGCGCCTCGAGTTGATCCTCGAGGACGATGGTGGACATGCCCACAGCGTAGACATCTTCCGGGCATTCGCCGTCCGTGTAGCGATCTCGTGGTGGAATCTCTTCGCCGCGACTGACGTCGTCGAGCACAACGGGCCCTTTGTCCTCTGTAGCTATAGCGACTGGTTAAGCTCTACCTCGACACATATGGACAGGGACATACCAGATATCCTCTCTTCTTCACGAACAACTTCTACCCCTACAGCGGACACGTTAATCTCAATGGACATACATGGGAACAGAACATACCTGGCGCTACTGCCGCATCATCATCGCCATTACTACCGCCACCGTCTTCGCTCTCTCCTGTCACAATGGAGTCGTTAGACACAACATCGAATCATATCCACAGGGAACTGGAACATACCGTGCACTGGTTCTTTCTCGTCCTTGTCCGCATGCTCGTGGTTCTCGTCTAGCGGACATGTCAACTCGGACCTTGAGGACATGCCCAACACTTCTTTCTCGTCGTCGTCGTCAAGGCGAATTTCCACTGCAATGGACGCGTTAGAGTCCACCTCGACGCATATAGACAGAAAACGTACCAAGTACATCTCTCTCGTCGACTTTGCCGCAGCCGCCATCGTTCTCTGTAATGGGTACGTCAACTTCCTCAAAGTGTATGTAAGGACAGAAACATACCAGACTCTAAAAGGTTCCCTTGCTCATCACAAACACGCGATTTGACGACCGGCTCGTCAATCACATTGACAGCTTCAGCTTTGACTTGGACTGTAGTAGATAGACTCGTCAGATCCCATATATAGATGTAAACAGAAACGTACCGGCGTCAGGCTCGACGACCGACTCCGAGTCGTCAGTCTCATTCACAACTTCATCCACTGTAGTAGATCCGTAAGATATCAGCTCGGCGCTTATACGTGTAAAGAACGTACCAGATTCACCGACCGACGACGTGTCCACCTTCGTGTCTTCGGATGGCTGGCGTCCATCTTGGTCGTCTATAGCAGACTCCGTTAGATCCCAACTTGGCGTATGTACCCGTGAACGGAAACGTACCAGCATCATCAACATCAGAGTCGACGACCATCGCGTCGACTGTAGCAGACCCATTAGTTCTCAACTGGGCGCGTGAATGGAAACGCACCAGACTCGGGGACCGTCACGTCGACCTCCTTCACGACTTGAGCTTTGATTTGCTCTTCGTTGGCTTGCCCTGCAGAGAGCGCATTAGATCCCACCTCGGCGCGGAACCAGAACGTACCAAGCTTGATGGGCACTTTCGCCTGCGCAATCTCGACGTCTTTCGCATTCTTTTGCTCTATAACAGAGCCATTAAACACCTCGATGAGCACACATCAAAACGGAGGACATACCAGATGTCGTTTTCCTAAACATTGCCGCTGGCGTCGACATCCCCGCGTCCCAGAACAGCGCTTTCCGCTCAGCGACCAGCGCCGCTGCCTTTGCTCTGAGCGCGCGGATTTCGGCCTCGTACGCGTCCCATTGGAGCCGACGCGCTTGCAAGCCGAGGCGGTGTTGAGAAGTGGGGATGTTGAGGGATGCCCAGGTGCGGGGGTGGGCGTGGTACCAGTGCGTGGGTGAAGGGAGGGGTGTTGGTAACGGGAAGGGGATGGAGGTAGGGGAAGGGTTGACGAGGGTGGGTGTGGGAGATGGAGAGGGAGTGGCGAGGGAAGGGCAGGGCAGCCGACAAGATGTGCGGCTGCCACTTGACCCGTGGGAGATGGGGGTGGATGGAGGGAGACGGGAGGGGTGTTTGCTGGATGGACGGCTGGGGGTGGCGAGGTCCCAGTGAGGTGCGGCGGCTGACAGTTGGAGGTCCTCGGTTGCAGTGGAGACGTCGCAGTAGATCTTGTCAGTCTTGCGTGCCGCAGCGTCGAGCTTGGCACCGGGATCCTGAGGGACGACGCACTCTTCAAGCACGTCAAAGGCGGGTTCAAAGTAGTCGTCCAATTCCAGCGGGGTCGATGAAACTAATGTTGGTTGAGATGCGCAAAGAGCAAAAGGCTAGAGTGCTTACGGGTCTTTCCATAGGCTTCAGTGTTCGTGGTGTGAACATACATCGTCACGTATGCCTCGAAAATGGGAGACCCTGGTACCATCATCGACGGCGTGCCGGAACGCGGTTTCCACGTCAAGACGGTGAAGGTCTGCGGTAGATCGGTGCCCCTAGGAAGGATGGAGTGCCGGTAAGGGGTGAGAGCGCTTATGCATGGCTGCACAAGCTGGGAAGGGATTTGGAAAACGGGCTGGTTGGGCCCGCGAGCGACGAGAGTGTACGCTCGCTGGAGAGTGATGGTAAACATGATGGGAGGCAAGAGAGAAGTGAAGATGGTCAGCCTCCGGCTCAGCCTCTTTTTGGAGATCATTGCGGCGGTCCATCAGTCGAAACTCAAATCGCGGTGGTAGGAAAGGAGACGCGTTTGTTTTGGGTCACGCCTTTCTAACATCTAACATGCGCCCACATTGACATCATTCTGGAAAATATCAATCGGGGGCATAGCTCAGTTGGGAGAGCAGCAGACTGAAGTCAGTTTCTTCTGAAGGTCCCGTGTTCAATCCGCGGTGCCCCCAATGATAGATTGGATTTTGTCTTTTTTGTTTCAAAAATTTGTAAAGTATGTATGTACATCATCTCCTAAGGGCTCCCCAAACCGCCATGCCCGCGACCAAGCCGACGCCAACAAAGCCCACCGTCGCCCACATACACCTCTTCCCCCACCTCCACTCTACCTCCCACCTCCTTATCAGCCTCTCCACCTCCCTCTCCGCCTCTGCTTTCTCATCCGCCGGCAAACTCCACATCCGGAACGGGTCCAGCCGCCCCCCTGGTCGGCGCTCGCTGTCCGTGTGCGGGAGTCGTAGGGTGAATGTCCCTATAACCCAGAATATTGGACAAACTAGGTGGTGGGCGTTAGTTTTACGTGGATGAAAGGAAGACGCGTCCGACATACGGAATCCGAGGAAGAATAGGTACATGGGCAACGTGCGCGGTTCAGATTCGTGTTCGTGTTCGTATCCGTGTTCGTGTTCGTTAGTTTCATGGTCTCGTGCTGTTTTCGTTCTCGTAGACGAGTACGGCGGCGGCGGCGGCGGTGAGAGTGGGGGCGCCGCAGTTTTGTCGTCGTCATACGATATCCGTCTCGTCTTTGCGAACCCGATATCCTCCCTCCTCACCAACGGCTCAGGTTTCACGATATGCATATCCACATCCACATCGAGTGTTTTCAACTTTTCCATACTGCGCCGCGATCTGGACGTGCACACCGTCGTCGACGTCGATGCCGATTCAACAGAACCTTCGAGTTCGATAGAAAACGCGTCTGAATCTCGGAGCGTACTCGTATGGGATGAGGATGACCCTTCTGACGGTGATCGCACAAGCGGCATTTTCGTCTCCTATATCGTTACTAGTGGGAGGGAATTTATCGATTATCCTTCCTTTCCACATACATACATATATGTACGCAACTGCCAGTGTGCCGCGGCCGGTTCAGGGCATGTGGCAGTTCGGATTTCCCTTTCCCGCACTGCACCGCGCCGACGTCATGATCCCGCGCATCATAAGTACAATTGCGATGATACATTCATCGAAATGATAAATCACAATGCATACGGGGCTTGCAATTGTCTATATGTGTCCCATCGCACAGATCTACTTTTCACCCAGAGTATCTCCGATCGCGAGAGCAACTCGACTCCGTAAAGCACTCGCCTCGGTGTCTGTCACGGGCAGGGGTATCGTCAAGTTGCCGCACGCGTTCCGTTTCGGACTCTGGACGCCAATTGCACTTGCACTGCATTCTCACCCCCACACACGTGCCGGTCAGATGTCCTCATCGCCACCCCACACACATCGACCCTTAACGAGGCTCGATATCAGATAACTTGTGCGTATGTTTTCACGTTTTTGACGACCTTATTCGCGCGCGCGCGCGCGTTTTGATGCCGTCATTGTCATTGCCCCACACCGTCGCATCGCGATCACGCGCCTCCCACGCCATGTCACGAAAAACATCAGCCTACCGCGATTCGAGGATGCAGGATATTCTGTCATCTTATTCGGAACATCTAGACGTCCACATGCCTTCCCTAATACATGTTCACCGATTCTTTCTTTTACTTGGGGAATTTCACTAGGGGCTTCTCCGAGGTCATTGGCATTTGCTGGCAAGGTTTATTTATGTACATGTTAACGTTGAACTGCAACGTGTTCCGATTCGGGGAACAACGCAGTCTTTTCTACCTGCGAATAAGAACAGAAGGTGAGTACGTACATACATATCTAATTCGACTTATGCATGCATGGAATATTGGTGTGTCCATACATACATGCATACTGAACTTTTTTCGACAGGATGAACGACGATTCCTGTGCAACTGCTCAGGGGAAAACAAGAAAAAAAAAACTCAAACTCAACCTCATAGTTTAAAAACACAACATGGAACCGAGCAATGTTGTACCCATGGCCGATGAGATTTTCTGCCGGTGGCGCCGGGAACAAAAAATACCTCGATGCCAAGTTCATTCTGACAATGTCAATGACATCGCATCGTCATCGCCTCCCAATACATATCTTTAACCCAACGGCACACGGCACGCATACATGACTTGTTCGCCTCAACTTTTGGGATCCCGAGAATGGGCGTATCCGCCACGAGGTATCTACGTAGGGCGCTGATCCTGGGCGTCTATTGAGTTTGAGTGTTGATATCATGATTTTGAGCTAGATAGGTGACAGGAATGGCTTAGGCGCTGAACACCTCGAAGATTGCGACCGGCCGCGCGAACGAGTTTTTTTGTCCACGATCAAGAGTTGGAGCGTGTGCTATGTATGTAACCGCCGGTGGCGCCGCAATGCCTAGTAACGGTGTTCCCTACTTTGTCTCATCCTCTTCCTGTCAGTTCTTTCAATCATTCTTGAAGTAGGAAAAACTTCTCACCACTCTGGCACTTATTCGCTTAACTGGAAAGCTTTCTCATGTCGTCCACCTACTTGGTGCGCCTATTGACTTCTTCTTGACGCCGTATTGCAACGTGAGATACCTCATAGATAAGCAGATGATTAACGACACATTGGCAGACCAGCGCCTAGGTTATGATTTCCTAGGCGCCAACACGACCGGCAACCTCCCTTTCATCATCACAAAATAATCACACATATCCTCATCCCATCTATCAACATCATACCCCTCCTCAAACTTCATCTCATACCTGTGCATCAACAAGCACACCAACATCCTCATCTCCATCCACGCCAAGTTCTTGCCTACACAGTTCGACGGGCCCACAGAGAAAGGTATGAACGCTGCTTGGTTCGTGATGGTCAACGAGGGATCTTTGAAGATCCCTGGCTCGAGGAGGGATTGTTGTTCGGCAGACAGCCAGCGTTCAGGCAGGAATGTGTTGGGGAGCGGGGAGAAGTACCGGGGATCGCGATGTAGACTGAAGAACGAGACGAAGGTGCTCGTGCCTTCTGGGACGTAACTGGTTGAAGGGATGGTTAGGAGGGGCCATGCCGTAAAGGGCCGGGAAACTCACTAAGGCCCGATAGCTTTCCCGGTGTCAGCGTATCGCTGGCTTCCGCTTAAGACGGGTGGGTAGAGGCGGAGACTCTCGTTTCTACCCAGAAATAAGTGAGTGGATGATTATTAATTTGGGGCAAGTCGAATTCGTGGGACGTACAATGCAGCGGTGAGGTACGGAAGGTGCGCTTGTTTCGCGTAGTCCATCACGCCGTCTCCTAACGTGTCAATCTCAGTTTGCAGACGCTTGTAGGTATTCGGATTGGCTAGGAGGAAATAGATGAGGTTCGCGATTGCGCTCGAAGTCGTGTCTGCTCCTGCGATGATCGCAAGGCCGCCTATGGATTGTCATCATCAGCTTTATGGCTTGGAACGTGCGTGGTGGTACCGCACCATCGCTGACCACTTCAATTACTGTTGGAGGTGTCGATGAGACGCCATCTTCGTCGATCTGGAGATTTTCAATCAAGCTATTTGGTGATGGGTTTGGAAAGACGCGTACGAGATGGTGGAAGAGGTCCTTGTGTGACGATCCGCGCTTCTTGCGCGCGATTGCACACTTTTTCGCGTGTTCTCTGAAGGCTTTGAGGTCTTTCGCCAGGTTAGGGAATTGAAGGAAGAGAGCCCCAAGCCATGGCACGTGGCTCATGAAAATGGCATTTCTGCAGGATAGGTAGCGTCAGTGATTCTGATTGTTTGATTTGATGATCAATGTTTCTGACTTTTGTCCAGCTTCCAGGAGATGCCAAAGTCCGTCGACATCACCGTCGCGCATCATTTCTGTCCCTCCACCGAAACTGGTGTAATCATTCAGCCGCCAGCGGAACAATGCGATCAGCTTATAAACTTACGCCAAATCATTCATGAAATCGTATCTGTAACCTGCAATTTCAGCGATCTACCCTGCTTGAACGCATCGCATGAAACGTACGTGAAGAATGAGATCCATTGAGCCATATCGACTGCACCAGTCTGCCGACCCACGGCTTCTACCAACTGGACACAGCGATTTGTGATAATCTCCTCATACCCCTTCAGAGCAGCAGTACTGAACGCGCGGGTCCATGGTCGTCTCCGCCTCGTATGTTCTGTCTTATCACGCAATGCGATCATCGGTTTCGTCGTCTCGGCCTCAGGGATACGACCATCCCAGACTGCGACTGTTATTATCTTCGGATGTATTGGAGAGGGACAGAGGTAACTTACATGGTCCTTTTGGAAAACCTTGTGGTCCCATCATCGGTGTTACGGCATCCACATCGCGGATTGACAATTCATTCGGCCCTGCGTAATAGACACTGTTATTCGGGACCCGGGGCAGGAACGAGGTGGCGGATCGAACGCGCGACGCGAGAGCGACCTACCAACGCGGACAACATCTCCGTACTGCTCGTGCAGTCGCAGGTAGTAGGTATGCTGCTTCCCTCCAAGGGACAGGAATGCCATATACATTTTGGAGACACGACATAGGAGCGGACCGGGGTATTTCGCGAGCGGATGAAAAGGAGATAGGCGATACAGCACGATTGAGATGCTGAGTGTGACCCAGAACGCGCAGAATGTAGTGAATGCGGCGCTCAAAACCGAAGTGGAGTGAAGCGCATTGAGGGCTGTGAGAAGAGTCGGGGTACCCAGAAGAAGGACGACAAGGTGTACGGGATTATGAGTCTCTGTTTGCTTGAAAATCAAATGAGTGAACTAAAAGGAATGATTTGGGTCAGTTGAAGTGAGCAACAGCATTGTTACTTACAACGGAGGCTGCGACGATAACAAGCATTGTTTCGGTAGGACAGAGAGGGGGTGAATTAAGAGGGGACACGGCGGAAGATTGGCCGACAGGGATCTACTTATAAGCGGGCACAACTACTACTAGAAGGAGTTACACTGAGGTCTGACAACTGGACAGACTGGTTCTATGCATTGATAATCCCCTCTTCTCTGATGCACCTGGTTTCCTTTTTGTTTACTCAGGGGCTGAGTCCTTAAGCGCTCTTGGACATGTTCACCCCATAATATTGGCACTTTAGACAGCAGCAATAATCACCTTT